GGTTTTTCTGGTTCTTTCAATTTTTTGTCTTCAGATTTATCAATCGGTATTGTTTTTTGTGGTTTTTCTGGTTCTTTCAATTTTTCAACTTCGGATTTATCAATTGGTTTTTCTTTTTCTTTTAACTTTTTGTCTTCCGATTTATCCATTGGTTTTTCTGGTTCTTTCAACTTTTTGTCTTCTTGTTTGTCCGTTGGCTTCAATGGTTCTTTCAATTTTTTATCTTCGGATTTATCCATTGGCTTTTTGTCATCCAATTTATCCATTGGTTTTTCTGGTTCTTTCAATTTTTTATCCACAAGTTTATCCATTGGTTTTTCTGGTTGCGTCTTTTCTGATTCCTTTGGCTTTTTGTCATCCGATTTATCCATTGGTTTTTCTGGTTCTTTCAATTTTTTGTCTTCCGATTTATCCGTTGGTTTTTCTGGTTCTTTCAACTTTTTGTCTTCTTGTTTATCCATTGGTTTTTCTGGTTCTTTCAATTTTTTATCTCCGGATTTATCCATTGGTTTTTCTGGTTCCTTTGGTTTTTTATCCTCAAGTTTATCCATTGGTTTTTCAGGTTCTTTTGATTTTTTATCTTCGATTTTATCAATTGGCTTTTCTGGTTCCTTCAATAATTTATCTTCTGTTTTATCCATCCGTTTTGTTGCTTCATTTTCCAAAGATTTCAACTTTTCATCATCAGATTTATCAGTTGGCTTTGATTGTTGTGTTTTTTCTGGATGAGATGATTTTCCCATCGGTTCTTTGGTTACATCATCCGATTTGATTTGAACATCAGATTTTTTCAATTCATCTTTAGGCTTATCTTTTGATTCAGGTTTTACTTGATCATCTGGTTTCGTTGATTCATCTTTGCACTTAGCTACTTTGTCTTTTGGTTCCATCTTTTCTTCGAGTATATCAATTTTTGATTCCTTTGACTTTCTGTCTTCATGTCTTTCCAAAGGTTTCGTTGATTGCGTTTTTTCTGGATCGGATGTTTTACCCTCTGGTTGCTTAGTTACTTCAACAGGTTTCTTTGATTCATCTTTAGGCTTAGTTACTTTGTCTTTTGGTTCAACTTTTTCTTCAGTTTGATCTGTTGGCATTAATGGTTCCTTTGATTCTTTATCTTCAATCGGTTTCAATGGTCTTTCTGATTCTTTCAACTCTTTTCCCTCAAGTTTTTCAGATGGTTTTTCTGGTTCTTTTAACATTTTGTCTTCAAGTTTATCAATTGTTTTCGATAATTTTTCATCCGTAAATTTAACTTTTGATTTTTCACTTTCTTCAGGCTTTTTCTTTTCTTTTGAATCTTTTTCTTCAGTTTTATCCGCAGGTTTTGATGATTGCAGATTTTCTGGTTCCTTTGATGCTTTAATATCTTCCGATTTATCGATCGGTTTTTCTGGTTCTTTCAACTTTTTATCCTCCTGTTTATCCATTGGTTTTGATGGTTGGGATTTTTCTAATTCAATTGATTTTTTGTCATCGGTTTTATCAATTGGCTTTTCTGGTTCTTTCAACTCTTTTTTCTCTAGTTTATCTACCGGTTTAGAAGGTTGTGTTTTTTCTGTATCGGATGTTGTGCTAA